CTGGCCCTGACCCCACCCGCTGGCCCTGACCCCCCCACTGGCCCTGACCCCCCGCACACCCGCTGCCCTGACCTGCCCATGCCCACAGGTGCAGCCCCTACACTGCCTGCATGAGAACGGTGCCCTGGTGCCTCTGGGGGACGCACTCTACGTGACGGGTGGCCGCTGGCAGGGCATGGACGGTGACTACCACGTGGAGATGGAGGCCTACGACCGCGCGTGTGACACCTGGACCCGCCACGGTGCCCTGCCCCGCCTCTGGCTCTACCACAGCGCCTCGGCCGTCTTCCTGGACGTGGCTCGGTGGACCCAGCCCTTTGGTGGCACTCTGGAACACTAGCAGGGGGGCTCCAGGCCAGGGGGTCCCCCAGCCACTGCTGCCACCAGAGGAGGGGCCACCACGCCCACCCCCTAAGTGGCCCCTTTTTGCTGGTGTTTTCACTGGGAGCTGTGTATCCCCCAGGGCATCCATGGGACGGCTCAGAGAACACAGCTCGGTCCTGGAAGTGCCACACCAAACCGCAGGACGCCTGCGTGCACGGACTCTGAACGGCGACCCCCCGTGAGACCCAGCCCTCCGGCCCTGGGGTCCTGGGCTGCAGAGAACGGGCCCGGGGAGGGATCGCGTGCTCTGAGGGCTGGCTGTGCCTGCCTGGGTCCCACCGGGACTTCCAGAGGAGCCGCACCCTGAGGGTGGCTGCCAGGGGCCCGGGAGGCCAAGGCCAGCAGGGCAGGAAGGGTGGGCAGCGCCAGGGCTGGGTATGCCGTGCGGCCTCGGCCGCTGCCTTCCCTCTCGGGGCCGCGGGCCCCCTCTGCCGCACTAGGGCCTGGCTGCGGGCGCTCAGCTGCTCCCCCTCCAGCCTCTGCATGTCGCCCCCAGGAGGGCGGGAAGGAGGAAGCGTGAGGACCGAGGGATCGGGGCCTCTGCCTGGGCGTGAGGTGGGCCGCGCTGCTGGGGACCAGACCACCCAGGGGTACTATGGAGGGGGCGCTCCCAGGCCAGCAGCGTCCCGTTTCTTGGAGCGACTGGCTTCAAAGCCAACTGTCCACCCAGAGGGAAAGTCCCCAGCAGCTGAGGCTCGCAGGGAAGGCTGCGGGGAATTCCGGGGGCAGGGCGGGCCCCGCGGGCTCCTCCTTCCTTGCTGGCGTGGATCCGGGGGCCCAGGCGGCCCCAGAACCTGTGCCCTGGTTGAGGTCCAGTGCAGAGCTGGCTTAGGAACCCCCTCATTCCGTCTCACCCAATGCTAAAGGACCCCACTGGGGGACTCTGTCACCAGGTCCCAGAGGACACAGGGACCAGGTTTGGGTCTGGGTCCCAGCCTGGCTCTTGCTCTGACCCCACCAAGGCCTGCACGACTCCCTCATCCCTGGATCTAGTCGTCTTCTCCAGGGCCTGGCAAGCAGCCTTCCTATCACTCTGCCGGAGCCCGGAGGGGCCCCTGGCACCCCTGTGCTCTGAGGACAGTGGGGAGGAGCGATGCCCCGATCCCTCCAGTTTCTGAGGTCAAGACAGTTTTTCCCCAAACCCACGAAAGTTCCTGGTGGGAGACTGAGTTGGGCCAGACCGAGCCCCCAAAGGAGACCCGTGCCCATCAGGCAGTCACTCCCCGTTTCCCCTCCCCAGTCCTCAGTGACCACCCTTCTGCTGTCTCTATGGGTTTGCCTCTGGAAACTTCATGTAAGTTGAATTGTACCCGTTGTGCCGTGGAGACCGGCCTCTCGCTCAGCTACACGTGCCGAGGCGCATCCGGGTTGCTGCATGTGCCTGACCGTGCCTGACCTCCATCCCTTCCTGAGGGCTTTTGCCCTGTTTCCCTCCTTGGACTAGTGTGAGCTCTGCTGCAGTGAGCATTCATGCCCAGTGCTAGAGGGACTGTTCACAGTACTTGGGTACATACCTGGGAATGGAACTGCTGGGTCACATGGTGATTCTACCAGAGCTCTGGTGGCAGGCACAATGGCAAAGCGCTTGGCTACTAACCAAAGAGTCAGTGGTTTGAAGCCACAAGCTGTTCTGCAAAAACTGTAGAATCTGCTTCCCCAAAGATGACAGCCTTGCAGACCCCATGGTACAGTTCCACTCTGTCCTCTGGGGGCGCTGTGGGTCAGAATGGACTCCAGGCAGTGGGTGTGGTTTGGGCTTTGCTTCTGTGAAGACTGACAGCCTTGGAGTCCCTGTGGGCAGTTCCACTCTGTCCTCTAGGGGCGCTGTGGGTCGGAGTCACCAAGACCAGTGGTTGGGGTCTGTTTGTAGGCACTCTCCTTTCTCGTTACTGTGGTAAATACACATGTAACAAATTGTTTGCCCTCCAGACGTTCGCGTGTCCAGTTCAGGGGCATCAGTGTGTACCCAGCACCCTTCCCAGAAGCTCAGTGCCCCCCAAGCAGTGAGGCCCCTTCTCCCTCCCTCCTTCCCTGGTAGCCACCCACAGAGCCTGGTCCCTCCCCACCTGCCTATCCTAGATGTTTCCTGTCACTGGAACCATGCAATCTCTGTGCCTCTGTGGCTGGTTTACTTCACTCGGCATGGTGGTCTCTGGGCTCACCCGTGCTCTAGCAGCTCTCGGTATTTCACGTCCTTCACGGCTGAGCGATGTCCCCGGGTGCTCATGGGGCACGTTTCTCACCTGGTTGCTCTTGGCGGACATTGGGGGGTTTCCGCCTTTTGGCTGTTGTGGACGGTACTGCAGTGAACACTGTCTGCAAGTACTTGGACACCTGTGTTCAGGTCTTTTGGGTCTACAGAACGAAATTGCTGGGAAATAGGGTTAATTCAATAATATTTTTTTAAAAAGAATTATTTCATTGTGGTGAAAACACACATAATAAAACATTTGCCCATTCAATGTTTTACCTGCACAATTCAGTGACGTTGACTATGTCCACCATGTAGTGCAGCCATCACTGCTGTTTGCGAATTATTCCTCCACCATGAACAGAAACTCAGTGCCCCCCAAGCAAAGACTCTCCCTTTCCTCCTCCGTTTAACCTTTGGAGGAACGATCCAACTTCTTTCCACAGTGGCTGCACCATTGTGCGTTTTATAGCAACCACACACAGCACATGTGACCATTAACATCTGCTGTTGTCTGTTTTGTCATTGTTGTTACAGCCATTCTCATGGGTGTGAACCCATCTCCCATGGTGGTTTGACTTGCATTTCCCTGCTGGCTAATGATGTTGAGCATCTTTTCAACCTTGGTCCATACCCCTGAGCAGTCTATTTGTCTATCTTCTTTGGAGAAAGGTTATTCAAGTAACTTTGGTCACAGTCATATTTAAGAATGTGGTTCTCACACAGTGGCAGTAACCTCTGAACCAAAGCCACCAGTGTCGACCCTCTTGCAGTGAGTGAACTGAAAAGTGATCTGAAGTCACGTGTTTTAAATTACTCTGTGCAAACCATGGTGACGAAGACCACAGATAACCCAAGAGACCCTCTGGGTAAAGTGAGAGAGAGAACTTGGCCCCTGTTACACCTGTCCAAGTGACAGTGGCTTATTCCCGTGCCAGGCACATAGAGGGGATGGAATGTGTGTTGGTGGCCCTGAATTGAGCCTGTGAGCTCTTCAGAGGCACTGGCCTCCAGTGGTGGGGGCTGGGCTGGAGGACAGGTTTTGTCTGTTGGCTTGGTGACCTCAGGCCAGTCGTGAGGTGTGAAGCCGTTTCCTCATCTGTACAGTGGGGATTAGCACGTAACTTGAGAATGAAATGACCTCGTGTGCTTGGAAGGTTCAGTGACCAGCACCGGCTGTCTGCCTGTCCACGGGAGGCCACACACAGCTGACTGTCGGCTCCCACTGTTTTCAGGATACAGGGAGCGCCCATTCCCATGACTTCATCGACAACGGGCTTCCTGGGGAAGAGAGAGGAGTGGGGACAGCTTGACGGCATCAGGCTGATGGGAAACCAGGCCCGGCCGTGACATGAGGGCCCAAGAATGGAGATTAGGTTTCAGCCAGGCGTGAAGGCGCGTGGGGAGCCACCCCGCACTGGGCCCGCCGGGTCCCTACGCCCTGGCCGCTGGCTGAGGACTCCCACCCTGGGATACGTTCACTCACCCCCAAATGCCGCCCTGTGTCCGAAGCCGTGGGCGTCGGTGCAGGACCGAGGAGGTCAGCGGTTGTCAGAACCCCACTTCTGGTGGCCCTTGCCTTCTCCTGAGTGACAGTGTGATGTGTGATAGAACGTGAGCTCCGGCTGGCCCACCCAGCCCCTGTGCTGTCCCCTCGAGAGAGTGTTCCAGGAACTGCACCAGGACCAGAACCGATTTGATTTGGGCCCTCCGGCAGGCAGGGCCTATGACATCACCAGCATTGTTCCCTGTTTGGGAAAATAACTCTTTCCCATGGCAACAGCTCCTGGCCTCCACTCTGGCTTCACATGGGTGGCAGTGGCCCCCACCGTGAGATGGCAATGACGTCACAGCACAGCGTAAGGCTCGTGCTCCTGACATCAGGTCCCCATCTCGTGTGTCCGCCCCCCATGTGGCCAAGGGCGACAGAGCCTGAGTCTCACCTTTTCAGGGAGCAGTGGGCACAGGTGGGGAGACAGCTCCTGGCTCGGAAGGCACCATGGCCCACAGCCTGTGGGGCAAATCCAGGCCGGCAGCCTGGTCCGAGCAGAGTGAGCGTGCCCGCCACCTCTGGCCTGGCCTGGCCTGCTCACACGTCACCTCTGAGCTGGATCCCAGAGAGGCAGCAGCGCTCAGGCCGGCTGCTGTCATTACGTCCGCTTCTCAGACCAGCAAACGGAGGCTCAGAGGGGCGAGTGCCTCAAGGCTCCAGGTGTGCCTTCCTGCAAAGCCAGCCACAACCTGTGCCCCAGCGGGCCACGAGGCAACAGGATCTGCCGAGCAGGCCCAGTGCGGGGTCTGCCCTGGGCTCTGAGGCCCAGGAGATCTGTGGTCATTCAGGTCTGTGGACATCTTCCTACAGTGTGAGGCTGGTGGCCTAGCAGCGACCCAAGGACACAGGTGCTCCCTGGAGAGAAAACCAAGGCCCCACGGAGCCCTGGGGCAAGCAGACCCCACAGCTGAGCACCCCTTCTGTCCGCCCGCCCCAGTGGCATTCCCTGGGGACAGAGCTCTGTGACCAGTGGTGCAGCCACACCTGCTTCTGCAGGCCCCTCCCAGCCCAGCACTCGTCCTGGGCGCGCCCACCGCTAGACCCCCAGGAAGCAGCCCACAGCCGTGGGAAGCCCACTATTTATTACCCTGGAGCGCAACGCGTCCCAGCTCATGTTCAGCACCAACTACAACAGGAAGGTGCGGGCCGCGGTGGGTCAGGGGTAGCATTCTCACCTCTCGTCAAGGAGAGCCGGGTTCGCTTCCCGGCCAATGCACCCATGGAGGCTGGCTGAGCTGATTTCAGCAGAGCTTCCAGACCAAGATGGACTTGGATGTAAGGCCCCGTGACCTGTCTCCATGTATCGACCAGAGAAACCCTGCTGTGACCACCACGGTCAGATCCACGGCCGATCACGGGATGGCGCGGGCCAGGCAGCCTTGGGTTGGGTTGGGTTGTACACAGGGTCACCATGAGCATGTTTGACTCAGAAATAACCAGTTGAACAGGCAGTGCCCAAAGGAGCAGAATGTGTGGTTGTGGAGATAGGATTGTGCCATGGGGCTGGAGGGCCTGGCGCTGAGCCCGGTTCTGCCAGCGCGGGCTGTGTGTCCCTGGATGACTGGTGGTGTGTTCTTGGAAGATTCTTAAAGGCATGGCTCTCAGAGCTTCGTCTCCTGAGGACAGGAAGCCCCTCTCTGCAAGCAGAGTTCCAGGTTCCAGTGAGAGAAGACAATCCACACTCGGTGCCATGTGGTCCACAGATAAGGCCCCAAATCAACGAAATGGAACCAAATTTCCAGAAATGCTTAACCATGAAGCACACGCCCAACACATAGAACAAGTTTGAGGCCAAGTTCCCCACCCCAGGCTTCTGAGAGACAGACCTGGAAAGATCAGAAATGGAAGCCCCTGGAGACACCCGTCCCTCCTCTGGTCCTATACCCCCCTCGCCGTGTGCCTGCGTATGGGAGCATGTTTGATAGAATAAGACCAAACATTTTGGGGAGCGCATGCCATGCAAACCAGGCCTTCTCAAGTCTGTTCTTGGGGGTCAGCCATTCTACAGGAACTGCCTTTTTTTTTTTTTTCCATTTCACTGATAAATTTTTAAAAGGCATTTTAGCCCGGTTTCAAAGACAGATCTTCTCTTTTGCAGTCCTAACTCATCACTGAAAGACACCTCCATAGGAGGCTTGAGACACTCTGTCCCTGGGGGACAGATTCTCAGGGTGGGCGGGAAATCGTTTTCCATTGAAATCCACTCCCCCCAGTCTGCAGGTTCGTCCTGTAGGGGAAGAGGAGGGCCCACAAGGGATGGCTCACATCTATGCTGCACATCCACACTGTGCTGTGCCCAGAGTGTGGGGCACTTCCTGCTTCTCACCCCAACCCACTGCACTCAGCCAGCCATGTAGAGATCCACAAGGGCGGGAGAGCATAGGGCTGAGGTGGGGTTTTTCCCTTGAGAATGAACCTGGGCTGTCCCCAGGCTAGTTCCTGGGACCTCTCTTCTGTGTCCCCAGTCCCCTCAGAGAGTTGGCACCTCGAAGCCAGAGGTCTCCTATCCCCACACAGCTTGGCTTAGAAGGTGTTCTGGTTACTTAGTGCCGCTCTGACAAAAAAACACATGAATGGCACGGCCTTAGCAAACAGGAGGTTTATTCTTACAGTTTGGAGGCTTTAAGTCCAAGTTCAAAGTGCCAGGCTCTAGGGGCTGGGTGAAAGCCCCTCAACCTTCAGTCTGTCTCCTGTTCCCGGCCCACTGAAGCTGGAGCTTTTCTTCACTCAGACAGCTGCTAGCTGCTGAGACTGACAAGTCCAAGGCTGACAAGTAAAAAGGCACAGTACCAATTTTACCAAACAACATAGTAGGCCATTAATTCAAGTCCACTGAAAGTCCCAAGGTCAGCAGAGCATGGCAGGCTGCTGAACAATGACTTGGCTACATGCAGGGCTCAAGTGTGCCATAAGTTAGAGACCATTCCCAAAGCTACTTCTTACATATGGGAAGCAGACCTAAAGCAGGTACTCAGCTGCTTGTGGTAGATCCCACCAGGGAGTTGATTGCCAGTCTCATCATGGGAAAGAACTACCACCAGCTGCCCAGCCCTTAACCAGGCCCAGCCAAGTTGACACACAACCCTAACTACCACAGAAGCAGTGAAAATCATTGAGCTGTATCTATCAATCTAGATAGATAGATAAGATCCAATCATTGCTTTGTTATTCGTATAAAATGTATTTTACTTTTGTTGTTGTTGAGAATACACACACGAGAACATGCCACCAATTCAACACTTTCTACGTGTGACATCTGCTGAGCCCGATTCCATTCTTTGGGGTGTGCAACTGTTCCCCCCTCCTTTTCTCAGTTGTTCCTCCCCCATGAACATAAACTCATTGTCCACTAAGGTTCCCATCTAATCTGTGGAGTTCCTATTGTCAACATCATCCCATAGAGACGGTTCTTCAGAACAGCCCAAGGAACATGGCTGACAACCTTCACTAACTGAGCTAAACTATACTTTGGTTTTAACAAGACATCAGGAAAAATGTTTGGTTGAAGTTTAAAGTTTATCTCAGAGCAATAGTTTCTGGGGTTCATTCAGCCTCAGTGAATCCAGAAAGTCTGGATTCCACAAGAATTAGAAATTCTCTTCCACATTTCCCCCCTTTTGAGTAGGATTCGTCTATATAATCTCTGGGCAATCATTGCTTTGCAACACTGGTGGGAGACATTTGGAAGCTTCATTGAACCAGCTGTGACACCCCCCCCACACACACACACACACCATTCTTTGATAAGAGCTACTGCATCCCATGGGTCACAGCTGCAGGGGCAGCTGCAGCCAGCTCCCAGCTGCCCACTCGGATGGTGCTGGCCTTCCAGCAGGGGAGCCAGGCAGGCAGGGGGTGCAGACCAGGCTGGGCCTGGGTTCTGATTGCTGGGCTAGCTCTTGTCAGGGAGAGGCGCCTGGAGCCTGTCTTTGGCCCCTGGGTGGGGTAGGGCACCATGGTGGGTGACGGGCAGCCTGGTTACCGGCCAGTCCGAGGGTGACCGGTCCTCCTCGCCCGACCCCCAGCAGGGTGCAGCTGCCAGGGTTAGGGAAACTCTGTGCTTCCGGGGGAGGATGGCGTAGGCCCGCCCTCCGGGATGGGCAGGAACCTGCTGGGAAAGGGGCCCGAGGAGGAGCGCCGCGTCCTCCCTGTCCCCGCGGGCTCAGCCTGTGTGGGTGAGGTCTGCACATCTCTGGGCGCGGCCAGGAGGGTGGAGGGCCCAGAGGACCCGAACAACGGAACGGGAAGGACTCCCCGGAACCAAGACTGGGCAGTCCAGGCTCCCTGCCAAGCAGACCCTCCGAGCGCGCAAGGGGCCGGCGATGGAGGCGGACCCGCGCGCCCCTCGATCCG